CCTCTGTGAAGTATTTCACAGTGATTAAAAGCTTGGGCTCTAGAGACAGAAATCTGATTTCAACTCCTACTCCTATCACTTACTAACTGTGTGCCTTTAAACAAGTTACTCAACCTCTCTGAGAACTGGTGTCCTCTACTGTTTGATGGGCATGATAGGAAATACCTACCACTTTAGGCAGGTTTGAGGATTAAACGAAATAATGCATGGAGATGACTTAAGTACAGAATCTAACATAAAGCAAGTGTTCAGCAAACAGGAGCTACAATGGTAACAGAACTTTCCAGAACCCAGACCTTCAAAAACAGCAGGAAAGAAAAAAACAAAACAAAAAACAAAAACCCCAAAACAAACCTTGAATGCTCTCAGCTCTGAAACTTCACAGTTCATCTAGAATGATACCTACATCATGGTCACTGAAATCATGGAAATTACCCATTTATTATTTCAGGGAACAATCATTTGTGAAGGTCAAACATGAGCAGTCCCTGTCAGGCTTTGAGGAGAGAGACACTTTAGTAAAGACTATCAGAGGCTAGAGCCCTGAATAGGGTCTTGAAGGATGAAGAAGAGCTCAGCAAATAGAAAAGAAGAAGAGAGCATGCTTGGCCTTTGCTCTCAGCATTCCTGGCAAGTGGCCGGCACTGACTTTCATCATCAGCAGGGTCCTGGAGAGAACAGCGATGATGTCGCAAGCTCTGAGCAGAGGTGCGTGGCAGGCCCCACTTCTCATCCTGCTAGAGATGACCTATGTATGTGTCCCCTGAATCTCAACTGAACAACCACGAGTAGAGACAGTACTCAGAGAAGTGGGTTGTGAGTTCGGAAAGAGTTCTGTAAGGTGATGATATCGTGTAAGAAATCAGGTCCAGAATAGCAATGAAGTATTGTTGATTTTAATTATGAAGACAGGACAACATAGAAGAACTACAGGAAGTAAAGAAGGGAGATAAAATGCTAAAGATACACCAGTGGAACGCACACAAACATGTCAGCAAAGAGGTAACAACTATCCGGAATACAGAGGAAAGAATGATTTTGAGTTATATGTATTTCATAGTTCCTCTGTAAAAATGAAGTCAATACTGGGGCTCAGTGGTGCTCAAGATGTAGGGCTCACATCCTCCTCGGTGCTCTTCCTGCAGTTCCCAGAGTGTCCACTGGGGCGACACATATGAGAGAGAGGGAGAGGGAGAGGGGGAGGGAGAGGGAGGGGGGAGGGGGAGAGAGAGAGAGAGAGGGAGAGAGAGAGAGAGAGAGAGAGGCAGACACACGTGGAGCACAGCAGCAGGTGGGTGAATCCAACACACCACGGGTCCTATCCTTCTGCTGGGAGGGTTTTCCCAGCTAAGGAAAAGGAAAAATGCCCTGGACTAACTGGGGAAGAATAAGGTGTCTCTCATACTCAGTGGGATTAAAGGTGGGCCAGCCAGGCTGCTGGGCAGTGGTCTATAAAGAGTTCTAAAACATCTTGGGAAGAGACCAGAAACACAGGGCCAGTTAACTCAGGTTTCTACATACAACTCCTTACATAACTGGTAGCAATATATTGGTTCTACCCTCTCTTGAAGCAAACAGTCTTCCAGAGAAAATAAAGGGGGGGGATCCCCAAACAAAATACAAAACACCTCCCTACATTTCATGCAGCTAAAGTGACCAAATCTTCCTATTTAGCCAGGATTCCCAGCTTATACCTTCTATTTTAGCCTAATTATTAATAGCTACCCCTTCCTTCTCAAAATGTCCTCGTTCGAATGATAATTCTATGGTCACCATCTATTTCATCTATACAACAAGTTACTGTAACAAAAAGATTAAAACGTATGCCTTTTAGCAGAAAATTTATTAAAGGGTAATCAAATAGCACTAGCTGAGGAGAAAACCTTCTATTTCACTGAAGAATACCAAAGTGGACCAACTGATAAAAGTAGAAAACTCACTCTTTGATAAACCCTAGGGGAATTATTAAATCACACAAGACATCAAATGGGAGTAAAACCATTAAGTGAAGAGTTGATGGGGAACCAGAGATCACCCAGTGACAAAGTAACACCACACAGATTGCTTTTGGTGGCAGGAAGAAAAATATAACTTTATAATGAAGGGTGTCAGTGCCCTAATACTTTGGTGAGCCTTACCTTCACCAACGATGAGCAAACATCACTTCAAGTGCATTCTCCTCACATTTAACGTGAATCTAATTGAGTCTTTAAATGTAATTTCCAGTTTATAGTAAATTCAGGAGACAAAGGAGCAAGTTAATGCATACTATATAAAGTGGCAATCAGGCTAATCTCTTCAACATGACAATGAAATGCAAACAGGACTCTACTAGATCACAAGAGCCTAAGGGACATAAAAACCAAAGCAATGTGCAGTCTTAAAGCCGACCAACTCTAAAGGGCATTTTGGAAGAATCGGAAGTGTAATTATGAGCTGGGTATAATGATAAAAAGGACTGATGATTAATTTTATATGTAATAGGGTATTATTTACTATGAAGGGAAATGTCCTATTTTATTTTTCAAGAGATGGGTACTGAAATGTGGGTATATAAGAATAAGTAATAATTTACTTTCTTACTTCTGCACACAAATATGGTTAAAAAATAATTAGGTGCATGTGCGTACACATAAACCCACAGATATACAGCTCAGAAAATCAACTTCTCCATCTCCCCATAAAGGGAAAGTCAAACTGTTTAAAGAATAATCACTTGAAGGGGTTTGGATGCACTTGTCCCAGCTGCCCCCACACCTCGGTCTGGCTCCAGCATCAGGGATGTGCCCAAAGGCATGGTTCTATGGTAGATGCAGCCTATACAACAGAATTCTAAGATGGCGGCTTTCCTAGAATCCCAGGGCTAATGGCAGTCTGAACAAACAGTCTTGAAGAGCTCTCTCCCTAAAGCAGTAGATGTTGCAATGTCCTATTCTTGTCCTAACTCATGGGCACCTGTCTAGAGATCCACACACCTCAACTGAGGAGCATCACCAGATAGGGGGAGAGCCTCGTCTCAAGAACACAGGCAAAACAGTTCATAGAGGCGTCCTCAGGGCAAACAGGAACCCCTCCCAGGGTCCATCCTCAGAGTGGGAGGAAAAATCGTTTCCTAAGGGGGAGCGCTCACCCCGGTAAGCATGTAACTAGTAGACACTGGTGCTCCGAGGCCCCAGTGGCAAGACCTCTTGGTAGGGAGAAAAGTCACAGGTGACAGGTGAAGAACAGAACAGGTGAGGAAGGGGGAGAGACAAGATTTATGATAGAAGCTGAGAGAGAGAGAGGTTAGATGTGAGAGACTGGAGGATTTCTTAGTAACTATAACTTGATCACGGAGGATTTCTTGCTTAATGAGGGCCAGGAGAGGCAGCTCAGTAGTACCGTGAGAAGCGCAGCGGAGGAAGAGGACCCAAGAGCGGGACAGATGAGGTGGGGGAGCAAGCAGTAGGAGGACACATGCTGAGCAGGAACGGGGAGCAAGAGATAAAACACAACAGCACCACGGGGAGATCGATGAAATCCGAAACGGCAAAGCAAACATAAGGACAGAGGGGGCAGGAAGTAGGAGAAAGACAGCTGGTCAAAGGTTGAGGGGGCAGAATTGGGAAGAGACAGGAGTTGACGACATCTCTCATGCGTGCGCTCACAGAAACTCAAACAGTAGGGGCTCCAGAGGGAGGGACAAGGGCCGAAGGCAGGCAGGCAGAGAGCAGAAGAGAAAGAACGGAAGGGCAGTGACGTGGAGGTGTGGAAGAAGGCAAGAGAGAGCCGGGAACGAGGAAAGTGCCCCTTCCAGCGGCACACCAGGGGACTCATAGTTAAAATATGACAGGCGCGGTGATCATGAGCCTTCTACGGCACATTCCAGAATTATGGAATTCAAATTTCCCATAGGACTAGAAGAACTGTTTTGACCAGGCAGCATTTCTGTGGCCGACCTGAATCATCACTTATCTTACACAAATGCCTAGAACGAGAGTAAGAACAGGATCTACTGTATTAAGAAAACAGAAGTGAACAGCTCTTGGATCTTCCAGGCACTAGGAGTGAGGCCAGTCAGCCTCGGGGGCTCCTTATTTTCCCCACAGCCCTGCTCTCATCCAGCGGGTCACTGCATCATACAAACTGGCCTGAGGCTGCTAATTATTTTCCACCCATTCTTCTGTCCACCCAGAACCAACGTAAGAGGCAAGTGCCGGGTTAACATAATTAATGTAGACAGAAATCTGGCTAAATACTACAAAAAGTCCATTTTTCAGGCGCCTGATTATCTAGATTGCTGACTGCATTGATTACATCAGTCCAATGATTGCCAGATCTTCACTTTCTTTCTGTTAGGCGAGATTTAATCTAGAGAACTAACAAATCTCTCTAGGATGCAAATGTCTCCCAGGACACATGATTTTGATTGACAGCTCACAGAATAATTTTGGAATGCATGCAAAATTAGACTCACACACAAAATTTTCATGCAAAGGCAAACCTATCCATCAACATAATAGTGGCTCCCAGAAAGCAGTCAAGGTTCTGTGTCTGGAAACTGGAAAACTGGGAAGTCTGATGTGTTAGAAGCCATAATCAAGCATATATGTTTGAAGGTTTTAATGTGTGTGGGTGCTTTCTAGCGCATGACAAAAAGATCAGAAATTTGTATGAAAAATTATTATTACAGGATTTCAAATCACAATGGAGTGTGCACTTGAGAATTGCTGGGTTGCAGTCTGGTGGAAGAGATGGGCTGGTAAAATCAGATTCCTCGAGTCTTCAGTCTGTTTTTTGAACAGAAAACAGTAAAAGAAATACTCTCCCTGACTCATGATGCCAGTCCCTTAGAATATAGTCTAAATGTATGAGGTTGGCACAAGTTTAAGAGCTCTATTTCTTCCTAGCTGGAATGTGGGGCAGATACCGTATACAAAGCACAAGAATGCAGTAAATTATCAGTGCAGAGCGCACGAAACTAAAGAAAGATCCAAAGGGCCTCCTGGAAGAATACTCACTATTTGGTAGAGTCAGACAACTGATACTCTCGTCGTCTATCATAGCATTCCTGGATTCCAGGATCATTCCATAAACTCTTTATTGCATCTACGTATGGATTCTCAAAAGCAGACACCTTCTCCACGTCGACTTCTCGAACTAATTGTGCATGAGCCTGTTAAAAACAAACAAAAACAGCAGTTTTAATCTCTCTCCTTTCTGTCACTGAAAACTGCCTCCGGATCGCATGGTATACTGTGCACCAATGAGGTCTTCCTTCATACGTTTTTTTCAAACTGGTTTATCAAAAAGTCTTGCTTCCTCTTTTTTTTTTTTTCCCCTTAGAGAGAATCCAATCCCAAATCTTTCCCTATAGAGTAAACCTTGAGGCTACTTAAAGTCAATTAGAGGAAGACAGGGAAGACAGTGTTCAGTTCCCATCAGACAAGTGAGGATGTCATGCTACACATATGATCATTTCTGGTGACTCTCTGAATCCTAAACCAATATTATTTAAGAGGAAAAGGACAGGAATAATTATTCCATGTTTATAGTTTATTATCATCAAATACATAATTTACCCAGCCCTTGAGTGTTTACAGCTTAGCAGAAACTTAATCAGACTCAACTAATTGGGTTTAGTTTCTATCACTCCTTTTCAGGATAGGGTATAAAACCCCTAGAAGAACAATTAATATTAATGATGTGAAACACAGTAACCATTCCCCCTCCCCTCCATTCCAATACACCCTACTTCCAAAGTATTTATTTCATATCTACCTTATCGACATTATCAGATTGAGAATTTTATTAATTTTTTTAATGAGGAAAAAGGACTTTGTTATTTTCATCATACAACATTTAGCAGGAAAGAGGTAAGGAGATTTAAAAAATTTTTTCAACAAGATTGAAATCAAAACGCTGTACGGTCAACCCTGAAATTAACCAAATTATACCAGTGCCTAAAATCCCAGTCAAACTAGGTTTCATGGATGTAGTAAGTTACATCCATAACCTGTAACTACACATGGTACATTGATATAATTACATTAATATATGTGTACGAATTATACATACACATAAATATGCAAATAAATATAACTACCTTGGAAATTGGAGATAAGTAGCTGATAATATATTTATATACTCTTACTTGCAGAAATACAAATTTTCAAACTAGGTTAGCTGATGGCTATCATGATCACATGATGACCTAATTATTCATTTCAAAGAGTTTTACACAGATGGAATTTTAAGAAATTTTTTAAATAAGTTTAATCCATGTTAGACCCTGTCTGGTTCCCAAACTTCACCTCCCTTCTCTTCCAAGTGGGAAGGGCCATATCATTAGACTAATCTTGACTTAAATAAGGTTTTAAGAAGCCCAACATGATGAGACTGAAGAAATCACCTTTCTTGTTAGTTCTGTTCTGACCTTGCAGATCTAGTAAGTGAGAAATTCTAGCTCTGCTCTGGACCCCAGTCTTGGAAAAGGGATCCCTGTAGTTGCTTTCTGTACCTAATCCCTATCCAGGCAAACTCTCTTGTTATCCCAGCAGCAAACTTGTCAGCTTGGAGTCCTGTTTCTGAGTCCCACTCCAGGTGGGCTTACCTTAGTCAAAGGTCCTGTCCAGCAGGTATATGTCTCATACCTCTGCAGGTATACCTAATGTCAAGTTTCAACCCCTGCCTTTCTGCCCCATGCTCACTGAAAGTTCTAACTTAGTGTCCTGAGACAGGACAATGATCACATCCTTGGCATAATCCTAAATTAGAGTCCCTATGGCTACGACTTTATTACACGGTTTTCTAGAGGACTCTGTGGATATGGGAAGCAGCAAGGTACAGAAGCAGGGGTCTTCACCTGCTGGATATACTCTAAAGACAAGGTTTTGAATCTGACTCTACTTCTTCTTATAACCCTAGGCAAAATTTCTTACTCTTTACAAGTATTATTTCTGGTGGGAAACATACTGCCCCACCAGCCTCAGGTTGCTTTGTATTGTATTACAGTACTGTAGCTTGGTGATTCTCAAAAGGCAGCATTACATGGGAATTTGAGAGAAATGCAAATCCTCTGATCCTCAAACTCTGTGCATCAGAAACTCTGGAAGTAAGGCTCAGCAATGTTTTAAGATTCTGATGCATGCAAAAGTTTGAGAACCAATTCAAACTACAAAGCACACAGATGCTCGTTGTTCTAATCATAATTAATTGCCTTGCTGGCCCAGAATTGTTATGGGAAGCTAAAGAGAAGAGGCTCACAGAGGCACCAATCATTCCAAAGCAGATGTCTTAAGGGCCAGAAAGCTAGGAAAATGACTAACACGGGCTGGATACAGGCAATAGGGAGTAATGGGGACTGCGGCACATTGACAAACATGTTCCCTAATCAAAGACCACAGTTGCTGCTTAGCTCCAACCAATTGCTGCCATTGGCAAGGTAGGCCCATTGTTGCCAGATCTTCCAATTTTTCAAGGAAGCCAAAAAAATCTAGGTTTTCCTGTGAATTATCCCTAATTTTAGATCTTGGCAACCCTAAAAAAGATAAATAAAACATATCTGTGCCTGAGCTAGATCAGGAGCCATTCATTTGCAACATATGTTCTAAAAGATTCTTTTCCATTTGCTTCCCCGATGAGCTTGACCAACAACACTGTCCTGCACAAGCTGGAATACAGTAGCTGGCTACTGGTGAACACATGCTAAGGAGTAGGTAATTTTCAGTCCTTTCCCACAATATTTAGACAAATGATTATACGATCCACAGGAAGAAATGGTTGGGACCTCACTCTGAACAGGGTAAAAGCGACATGGCAACATAGGTTAGTATAGGTACTATTTCCACAATGCATTTGATACTTACTACCCTGGGCCAGTCATGTCATTTGGAAGGAGTCCTGTTTCTGTGTCTAGCGAAGTTGGCTTCTGCCAGAGAAAACAGCTTCAACATACCAGACACTTTTCACTATTATGATTAAATGTTTATTGGACCCCAGTGAAATGCTAGGTGATACAGCAATTAGAGAACTAGACAGCGTTCCTGCAGGGCATGGGGGAAACAGTTCATAAAGATGGCAACCAAACAAAGCACAGGATTATGTGCTCCAGGAGTAGGAACAAGACGGACTATTTGCATTTCCATCCTTAATTTCAGTTGACTGTACGGGCATTTAAATAAAGACAACATTCTCAACAGCGCAGAGTTGTGACTTTCCACCAAGAGCCTGCTGCTGTCAAATGAGATGACTTCTATTGCCAGAAACTCCTGTAATTTCCTCTCGTGGTCTATCTCTGCTTGCTTTTACTTACAACTGGAATGCCTTCCCTCTTCCTCTCTGCACCTCCTTTAGCTTTTGCTCCAGAGCTGTATCATACGCCACATCTCACAGGAAGTTATTCCTGATTTTCTTCCCCTCCAAAAAAAGTTATCTTTGCATCCTTTGCACCATGGAACTTCTATATTTTGCTTTATGTTAACAGTTATGTCTTGACTTATCCCCCTTCTAGTCTGTACAGTGAGGAAGGGGCCGGAGCTTACGGACTCTGATTTCTTTTGGGGCCCATATAACAAATACTTGCCTAATTTAATTGCACGTAAAAAGTATACAGATTTTCCTTCCAGGGCCCCCCAGAATCGCTCCCGTGAAGAAGCGTGGCAAGAAGAAGAAGGGCCATTCTGCCATCAACGAGGTAGTGACCAGAGAATACACCATCAACATCCACAAGCGCATGCATGGAGTGGGTTTCAAGAAGCGTGCCCCTTGGGCACTCAGAGAGATCCAGAAATTTGCCATGAAGGAGATGGGAACTCCAGATGTGCGCACTGACACCAGGCTCAACAAAGCTCTCTGGGCCAAAGGAATAAGGAATGTTCCATACCGTATCCACGTGCAGTTGTCCAGAAAACGTAACGAGGATGAAGATTCACCAAACAAGCTCTACACACTGGTTACCTATGTACCTGTCACCACTTTCAAAAATCTACAGACAGTTAATGTGGATGAGAACTAATTGCTGATTGTCAAATAAAGGTATAAAACTGCAAAAAAAAAAAAAAAAAGTATACAGAAACACAATGCGAAGTCCTACAAGTCAAAGTCAGTTTCCCAAGGAAATCTTCCACCCATTACTGCTCTCATATAACTACACAATCCTTAGCAGCACTTATCAGAGTAAACGGTGCACATCTATGTGTGTGATACCCATTAGTATCTTCCTCCACATTCATAGTACAACTTCTAAGACAGGCTCAACATTGCTTGGGGCCTAGCAGAGTGCCTGCCACTTTGGAGAGGCTCAATACATATTTGTTGGATGAAGGATACAAGGAAGGAAGAGTAGAAATTGTTCTAAACTTGCAACCAGGACATCTAACTTCCAGTCCTGCCTTAACCCATGACAGTAACTGGCCATTACTTAGGAGAAAGTACATTACTTTTTTTAGAACTTCATTTTTCTTGTCTGTAAGATGATGCAATTAGACCAAATCACTTAAGGACTCATCTAACCATAAGCAGTATGATTGTAAACACAGAGTAAATGCATCTACAATGCATAGAACACCAAGGAGCATGTCATACCATTTACTGAAACAAGATCTCACTATTTCCAACCAGTGCCTGACAAAACAGGCAAATATTAGTAAATCTGTATGTGAGTAATGCCACATGGGGACTGAGCAAGTAGAATTCAGTATAGACACAGGAGATCAAACAGGGTGTCAGGGAGAAAGATTTAGCTGGCAGGTGGAGGTGAAGATGCATGATGCTTCTAGGGAGCAAGAGTAGATGAACCAAGGCTTAGTGGACAAAATAAACATGGCACTTTCGGTTAACTGTGGAAAAACCAGTCTAGTGAGGAAGTTTCATGCTGACTATTAATTCAAATTAACCTCCACAGGGAAAGCTGCAATACTAATCTCAGCTATGAACCCTAACTCAGAAGGCAACCTCCACCATCTTTGAAAGAATATCGCTCTCAGAAAACACAGGTCATTGCTTGGTTTTCACCCAGGACAGAACTTCTAAGTCACTTTTACTGCCTCTTAGCCTTCATTGTTTAATTCCATCCTTGCTGTTTTGGAAAATGACATCCAAATATAATCAACTGTAATTTGCATTTATGTAAGAACGTTCCCTGAAGTTCCGTAAGTTATTTAAAAGTATGACAGC